AGAAGAGGAGAAGCTGCAGCTTGTCCTATGGTTCAGCATTACATGTGAAACCCTCCCCCTATGTAGTCCTGAGCGGAAACTTCTATGAAGGTGCCAAAATTGGAGAGTGGAAGAAAATGATTGAAAATAAGGGGGGATTGGGGGAACTCACCTTTCCTTTAGTAGTGGCTTCTCTCTCTCTCTTCTCTTCTCTCTTCTTCTCTCTCTCTCTCTTCTCATTCTCACCATCTGTGTGTTCCTCTTCTGGCAGCCACCATTCCTTTCCAGATCTCCCCCCCACACCCCTTATATTGCCATTCAATGGCCATCCTAGGAGGACAACGTGGTATACCAAGTCATTTTACTGGGGCTGACAGTCCCAGTTTTAGTCCAAAGCATCTGAAGGGCCCCAGCTTCGGTTTGACTGGTCTACACTGGTCTGCTCTGACTGGCAGTGGTATTCCAAGGTCTTGCACATAATTCTCTCTGTTCCCTGCTTCCTCAGATCCTTTTTAACTGTGATGAAGCACCAGAAAGAGAACCTAGGGCTGTAGCTGTATCAATAATGTGCTCTTACCATTGAGCTATGGCTCCTTTTATGTAAGCTCATGTAGATGTAGGATTATGAAATCCACAATGCAGTGTTCTGTTTAGGAAAGAAGATATGTATGCATGCATGAAGGGCCTCATCATAAAGTTAATAATAGTCTCCCCCGCCAAGTATTATTGGGGACCCAGCAGCAGTTGATATTCAAATTCACAGTTGGAAATGCAAACACAATTTCTCTTTGTAGGTTTCACATATGACTGCTCTACCCAAAATGTGTCTAATTGCTTGAGAGAAGGTGGGACTAATGTTATTAGACACTTCAAGGGGCACCTCTGTGACTAAATGTTGCAATAAGGAGTGCTACTGTTCAGAGTTCCAGCCAATTAATGCCCCGTTCCAGGACATTCCATTCCTTTCTCCCTGATTTTCCATTCCACTCCCAAAGGATATTCTCCCTTCTATGTCGCTCTGTGTTCTGTGGCCACTGACCATGCTGAGTCCTCACTAGACTATTTTGGGACTCTCCTTGGCCCCCCGCCCAATTTTGTGGCATTTCTGCAAATCTTGGGGTTCCCTCGAGCCAACTCATGTGCATGATAGTGCCATTTTGGCTACATAATTATTAGCACTCAGATAATGAGTTTGCTGTTAGTAGTATATATGATAGCTGAAAAAGGAGCTTGTGTGTGTGTGTGTGTGTGTTTTGTGGACTTGATTGCTATTTATTAAGAACCAAGGACAGAGGTAGTTATCTTCATCATACCCTTTTTAAGGGTATCTGGCTGTCATGGTTGGAAAATGAATTATAGATTAGATAAACCTTTGGTCTGATCCAACAAGGCAATTTATAAATTATTTTCTTAAGAGCAACATTTTTAAAAGAAATAAACATTGTTCTAAGCGACATTAAAAATGTGTGAGGGCAAACTGGGGTGCAAAATCCCCTTTCTTTATTAAAAGAACCTTGTAAAGAAATGCAGAAAATCCCACCAACCTAGTGACATTATTTTCCTCAGGATTTTCAGTTCTTTCTTCCAATGAAACTGACACTCTTGTCAACAAAATAAAATTGTCAGCTAATTGTCACCAGCCCCAAACCCTCTGAACTTTTTGGAGATGTTTACCAGCTAGAAATGCATTGATTTACGATGTGCCAATCTGATGCTCATTTCAGATTGTTCCCAGAGATACTGTTTTCATTTCACGCTCTCTTTTAGTTGTTGTTGTTTTGGGGTTTTTTTTGCCTCTTTCTATCAAGTGAAGCTATAGCATCCTTTATCTTTTGGAGATCAGCAATTTCAATACTTGGTTGCATTGTAATTTCCTGCAGTGCAACTTTCCTTTGAGCAGAGAGAGCAGGACAGAATGGATCCTTGCTTTTGTGTGTGTGAGAGATGACAGAATCCAGAAAACAGATTCAGAAACAACCAGACAAACCTCTCCACTTTCAGTGACCAGTATCTAGTGGATGGATAAGATTTTCCTAAATGACTCTGTGCTACAGTGCTTCCAAATGATTTGAGTGGACAACATGTAAACAAATCCATCTTAAGATACTTCAAGGACATGGCGCTATAGAAACCTGCCTTGGTCTATTCCCCTTACTCTGGCTCTTTTATTGATCATTGTGTGACCCAACTAATTCAGTTCAAAGGTTCTAGGACAAAACGATTCATTTACTCTAGTGGAAGTTGGAAGAGCTTAGAAAAACAGCTGCACAGTCATCCACGTACAGCCAGATTGACAATGACTTTCTGGTGCGATTGCACACCCAGAAACGAAACAAACTCTTTAGCTGCTATACAAGTCACCATTCCTTACGGGAAATTTCAGCGGACATATAATTCTTTGGGTTGGGGTCCTTTTTCATTTAAGTTCACTGAAAATCATTGTTGGCTGCAGTTAAAAAGTACCTGGTGACCGTATGCCTTCCCATATGCTTATATTATAAAGTGTTGGTGAAAGCTAAGAGTCAGCTCCAGAACCTTTCCAGGGAGTTTAGTGGTAAATCGTTTGCTCTGTCTGCAGAAATTTCCAGGTTCATTTCCCAGCATTTCCAGATAGGGCTGGGAGGGGAGCGGGGGACATCCGTGTCTGAAACCATAGACAGTCGCTGCCAATCAGTGCAGACAATACTGAGATAGATGGGAAGACTCAGTATAAGGTAGCTTCCAGTGTTCTTGTTTTCAGCGACAAAGCACCCCCCCTAACCCTGAAGTGATAGCTAAGAAAGGAGTACCTCTGCAGAGCACTTTTTCCTAACTGCTTAGTAACAGCCACCTTTAAAGATCACCTGCAATTAGGAGCGGGGTCTTTCAAAGCAAATAGCGTGGCTTATATCCAGCCTTTGTGCTCCATCATTTTGGAACTGAAGTGCTGCCTTTTATGGATTCCCCCACTCGAAACAATCCAAACCCCGTTCGAGCCTTTGTGGTTGGGCGAAATAAAAGGGCTAATTGTAACCTCCAGGCAAATGCGCCCACACACCGACACTCCGCTGCTCTGAAACACCAGGGCGGTCCGATTTACCTGTCTGTGAAATGGTAGCAACAAAAGTTCAAGGGAAAAGGAGAGGAGGGAGAGAATAAAAGACAAAAAATGTTCGAGTACATTTCGCTTCAAGGCGCCCAAGCGATGCCTTCCCCCGCCCCTCCCCCCGCCCCCGCTGACCCGAGGTGGGCAAAGGCGACGTGGAGTTTCAGGGACTTTTCGGGCAGATGCATTCAAGCGACCCGAAGCCTTTTTCAGCGGGGAAGCAGCTGCCCACGGCCGTCCTCTGCCTACAGAGCTTTCCGAGTCTCCCAGCGCAGGTACGCGAGCTGAACAGGCGAAGCCCGACGTGGCGCGCCTGCAGGTGGCGACAAATGCCCTTGAAGCTCAGCGCTGTCCAGGGTGCTGAAATGCTGGCGCTCGCCAGCCGGCGCCGAAACGGACTTCGTCGCCTCTGCTGCCGCGAGGAAGGCGGGGAGCGGAGCAGGGATGCCCATTCGCCGCCGCCGCCGCCTTCCTTGCAAAGCGCCCGATTCCAGCTAGGGAACGAGGCGGTTGGGGGGGGGGAGGGAAGGGGGATCCCTTCCCTACGGTTCTCGCAAGCCTCGCCAGTCATCCTCCGCTGGTTCAGCGGAGCTGCTTCCCCGGGCAAAGCGCTCCAGTGGAAACGAAGCGAAATGAGAGACGGGGAGCTCAGTTCAGCGGTTCTCGCTGCTTTCCCTCGTCAAGCCCCCGCCAGTTCCTCCGGGTCGCCTCCGGCCAAGACGAAGCTCAGTCTCCATTGCATCCTGCCTCTTTGGCACTCCTGGCTGGGTAGACGTGAGGGCGCACCTACAGGGACTGGGTTTTCAAGGGGAGGGGGCTGACGCGCGGCGAAGCAGTCCCAGCAACACCACTATAACTTTTGCTCTTTTTTTTAACGATTCTCGCCTGCTGTTGGAGGGTTGCGATGGGGGGCGGGGAGCAGGAGACGGTTTGCGTTGAGTGTAGGGGGTTCCTCTTCCTTTAGAGAATCTATCTGGTCTAGTTTCTGACATGTGTATGGATCATGTGTGAATGTGTGTTGGGGTGGGGAGGAGACAAGTGTCCTATCGGTCCTATCCTTACTCCCCTATGGCTGCTAAGGCACCCAATGAATGCTGCCCCAGATTCCATTAACGAAAAGGACCATTGGCCCAGAGTCCCATGTCATCCGGCGAGAAGCACTCACTAACGCACACGAGGTGTCTATGTGGGGGCGTTTTGTGTGTGTGTGTGTGGAGGGGGAGCGGAGAAGTGAAAGGGAGGGGCCGAGGGGAGGAGGAGGGAGGAAATAAACCCGAGAGGAGGAGAATTGAGGGGAGGGGGGCAACAAAATGCTGAAGGCGAGAGATCTCAGCAGTCCTTGGCAATGGAGAAGTGAAAAGAAGGAGGGAAAGGAGGAGAGGAGAGGAGCCGGGGGCAGACCCAAAGGCTGAAAGAGGAGCAAAGAAGCCGACGGGGTGACAAGGAGAAGACGAAGGGGAGGGCTGGCAGCAGGCAGCGAGGACTACAAAAAGTGTGTGTGTGAGAGTGTGTGGACGGGGGAAGAGCGGCTGCAGAAAGAGAGCAGCAGCAGCAGCAGCAGCAGCAGCGAGGGCTAGAGAAGCGGAGCAGAAGCGAGGGAGAAGGCGGGAGAGGGAAGACAAGGGAGGAAGAAGAGAGGAAGTGGGGCAGAGAGAAAAGGGATATAAATTTATAAATAAATGGGAACCAGGCAGAAGGAAATAAATAAATAAAGGAGACAAAGAAGTCGAGGAGGGAGCCCAAGAGGCAGCGGCAGGAAGAGGAGCAGCAGAGAGAGAGAGAGAGAGAGAGAGAGAGAGAGAGAGAGAGAGAGAGAGAGAGAGCGACGGGAGGCTGCGAGAAGCCAAGCTCAGCGAGTGAGTGACGGGGGGATGTGGCAGGGAGGATAAGAAGCGGCGGGCAAGAGCCAGAGAGAAGCAGAGAGACTTTGAGGAGAGCCAGCCCAGCAGCAAGTGGGGGCCGCCGGAGGGTTGAGCAGCGCGGCGGCGGCGGCGGGAGGGGGCAGTGGCAGCAGCAGCAGCAGCAAGGACGCTCGAGAGGAGGTGCTGGGCACTGCTCCCGGGAATGCCTAGCCGAGGAGGAACAGGAGGAGGAGGAGGAGGAGGAACAGGAGATGCAGCCGGTGTGCCGGGACTGGCGCTAGCCCGAGGCGCTGCCTGGCTTTAGCCCGCCGAGGGGCGCGTGAGTCCCGCCAGCCGCCGCCGCCGCCTCTCTCCGCCCGTCCCGTCGGGGGGCCATGGTGGTGCTGACCCTCTGGAAGCGCTGCTGCCCACCGCCGCTGCCGCCGCCGCCGCCGGAGTGAAGGCGCTGCCTCCTCGGCCCCCCTCGCCCCCTGCTCCTCCCTCCGGCCCCCTTCCGCCATGGAGATGCCCAACAGCACGACGGCGGCCAACGGCAGCCAGCCGACTAGCCCGGCGCCCGCGGCCACCCTGGGTTACCAGCTGGGCACGTCGGTGGTGCTGGGCGCGCTGATCTTGTTCGCCGTGGTGGGCAACGCGTGTGTCATCGCCGCCATCGCCCTGGAGCGCACCTTGCAGACTGTGGCGAACTACCTGATCGGCTCGCTGGCCGTCACGGACCTGATGGTGTCGGTGCTCGTGCTGCCCATGGCCGCCCTGTACCAGGTGCTGGGCAAGTGGACGCTGGGCCAGGTGACCTGCGACATCTTCAACTCCCTCGACGTGCTGTGCTGCACCTCGTCCATTCTGCACCTGTGCGCCATCGCCCTGGACCGCTACTGGGCCATCACGGACCCCATCGACTACGTCAACAAGCGGACGCCCCGTCGGGCCGCCGTCCTCATCAGCCTGACGTGGCTGATCGGCTTCCTCATCTCCATCCCGCCCATGCTGGGCTGGCGGACCCCAGAGGACAGGGCCGACCCCAACGCCTGCACCATCAGCAAGGACCCCGGCTACACCATCTACTCCACCTTCGGCGCCTTCTACATCCCGCTGCTGCTCATGCTGGTCCTTTACGGGCGCATCTTCAAGGCGGCGCGCTTCAGGATCCGCAAGACCGTCAAGAAAGCAGACAAGAAGCAGCAGCAGCAGCACGAGGACTCGGAGAAGGTGGCCGACACCTGCCTGTCGGCCTCGCCGTCCAGCGGGGAGCCCAAGCGGAGCAACGGGGGTCCCCAGCAGCAGCCCAAAAGCTGGAAAAGCGCCGTCGAGCCCAAAGGGCCTGAGGGCCCGTGCGTCAATGGGGCCCTCCGGCTGGGAGAGGACGGCCCGGTGGCTGCCTTGGAAATCCTCGAGGTCAACCCGTCCAACTCCACCAAAAGCCACCTGCCCCTGCCCAACCACCATCACCATCACCACCACCATCACCACCACCACCACCCCCCTCCCCAAGGCAGCTCGGGAGCGGCCACGCCGTCGACGGAGCGCAAGAACGAGCCCAAGAACGCAGAGGCCAAGCGCAAGATGGCCCTGGCCCGGGAGAGGAAGACGGTCAAGACTCTGGGCATCATCATGGGCACCTTCATCCTTTGCTGGCTGCCCTTCTTCATCGTGGCGCTGGTCTTGCCCTTGTGCGGCTCGGGCTGCTACATGCCGGACTGGCTGGGCGCCGTCATCAACTGGCTAGGCTACTCCAACTCGCTCCTCAACCCGGTCATCTATGCCTACTTCAACAAAGATTTCCAAAGTGCTTTTAAGAAGATCATCAAGTGCAAGTTTTGCACGCAGTGACTGGAGCGCAGGGAGGGACTGCACACACACACAGAGACACGCTTTTTGAGGGTGAAGTGGGGGGCTGGGAGAGGGGTAGGGTAGGCACTGGGTGTGTGGGTCTTATCCTCCACCTCACCTCTTCATGAACTCCCCTCCCCCCAGGCACCTCCTTCTACCATGGATGCTTTGCAGACATCTGATGCCCTGTAATGCCGTCGGGGCTGGGCCATCTCACTCTGCTGCGCCATTTTCATTGGGCACTGATGGCTCTTTTATTTTCGGGAGAGGAGGGCGGGGAGCGTCGCCTGGACCCCCCCCCTTTCCCCATTTGGGACGCTCGAATGGAGGCTGCCCTGTGCCTTGGGTCCCAATACAGACCGGGGCCCAAAGCCAACTGCTCTCGCCCAGCAGTGTTGCTCATCCGGCGCCCTCGGGGGTCCCTTTTCTGAACTCCTGCTTCAACACCGCGAGGCGGCTCAGGAAGGTAGGAGCGTCCCAGGGAAGCCTGACAGTCTCGTTTGTTGTTGCTCCCGGCCTCGACTCCTTCTCAGAGTTTCCTCCTTACTCCAAACTGTGCATAGAAACAATCCGATCTAGGGGAGCTGATCTAGGATTTTGAGGGGGTGTGTTTGCGTGTGGGGGTGGTAGCATGGGCTGCAGACCAGGAGACTAACCAACCGACCAACAAACAGGGTATCTGCCCGAATTGAAACCACACAATAAAACCATCCTATGCATAACAACGTAAATCTCGTCTGGTTTCTCTCCTTCGCTCGCTCCCCACACGCCCCCCCAACCCCCCCCTCGGATTTATTTATTTTTATTATTTTAAAGAAGAAGCTAAAAACTTCTTTGCTTCTTTTAAGGCCGAGTAAGTATGAACTCTGAAAGGGAGCGAAGCAACCAAGCCAACTGGAGCGGCTTCCAGGTGGTCGCTGGCTTGGGCAAAGTGCATTTCGGTGGGGTGGGAAAGGAGGGAGGGAGCCAAGCGGATCCGCAATCCTGTAAGTGACTTGCTAACTGATCGGTCTGTACCATGTATTGTAGAGAGCGCTCTCCCGCTTATATGTTGTCAGCCATTTCTATGTCCAGGACTCCCGCGAAAGGGCAAGCCGATCCCACGCTACGCATGTTTACTCGGAAGTAAGTCCTACCGAGCTCAGTGCTCCCAAGGAAGCCCGCGGTCCTTGGCACACTTGGGTGGGAGGGGAATGGAGAGAAGAGCCACTGGTTGAGGCGGGATTTACTTCAAAGTAAAAACGTTCATCGGATCGGGCCGCCGTTAAGGCTTGAAGCCTGAAATGGTGGGAAACACACCTCTTATGAAAGATTTAGCAGACGAGGAGATAGCTTGAATAGGTGTTTAAAGCGCTAGAGGCAAGCTTCCGGGCCACACTGAACTTCCTGCAGCAGACAAACCGATGCGGTAGGGTTAACTTGATACTGTACAGTATTTACATAGCTTTCGGTTGAGTCCAGCTAGATTTTACTCAGAACAGATCCGCTGAAATGAATGTTTGGGGTGCCCGTTATTTTCGGTGGGTTTACTCTGAGTAGAACTAGCATGGGATTCAACCCTTTATCAGGACAAATAAGTAGTGAAATGCTTAATGCAGGCAGCGTTCATTAGATCAAAATCCTTGATAAGGATGCAAATGAGAAAAAGTTGTTCCAGGGACAAAACAGCTTCTGGTGGATAGTGCCCAGAGGTGTCCTTTGGAAGCAGAACAAAGACAGTTCTGCATCACTGGAGTCTCCCACAATGCTTGGAAAAGTCAAAATAAAGAAGGCAGTCCTAGCAATTATAAATGATTAGCAAATGCTTACAACATTTGGTCCAGATAAATATATGGTCTCAGTTGAGTATTGCTCTTTCTTGTTTGGGATCAACACGTGAGACTTGGAACTCTTAATATTGCATCAATAGATGAACGTGATGCCCTTAACTTACCCTGCTGGCTTCAAGCCTCTAGACACTTACTCCCAAGTAGACACATTGTCAGCAGAGTAGGTGAATGAGTGAGCTGTATGCCCAGAGAGTGAGCAAAGAAGTTAAAACATTGCTCAAGAGATAGCAAAAGTCCATAAATCAAATGAAATGTGTAATATAATGCCATTACATATTATTTAAATGTCCCATCAGAGAAAAGTGGCCACAGACTGAGTTTATTTGCATGCATGTCTGCATATAAAAAAGCCCTTGTGTCTAATAAACTTTGCTGAAAGTTACAATGCAGCTACTGACTGTAGTACACAAGCCCAAGGATGTGGCTTGTGGATTGCAGACTGTAGAAAACTGTCACTCTGCTTTTTTATTTTATTTGAAAAGAGCATTTTAATGTACCACTAAAGATTAGTAGGTGTAAAGGGCATATGTTATCAGAGGCAGCAAGAGGTCTCCTAACTCCTCCCACAATGACTTTGACTCATATTGAATCCTTCATTCTAATCATCTCAGTTCTCTTGTTGAAGATTAATGAAGAGAGGCAAGTTTTACTCCCAAAGGTCTGTGCATTCCATCATTGATATGAATGGAACTTGTGCCAGAGCATGGGAAGTGCTCTCAAATCCTTCAGAGGAGTTTGCACAAAGGTATGTCTGGCGTCTTGTGCATCACACAGCTGTAAAAATAGCCATGCAGCTGTAAATAAATAAAACGACAGCTTAAACTCATGAGCAACCATGTTAGAGTGCCCAGTCCTTCAGTCCCTTGAGCACATGACTGGAAAATGCACTGTGTTGCTTCCAGGGAGTGAGATTTTCTGACAAGTCATGGACTGTAGAACATAATGGACATCAGCTGCAACAAGCCTAAGCACATATACAAAGAAGTAATGGGCATTTCTGTGTAAAACTTGCTTCCATGGGAAAGCTTTTGGAATTCTTCTTATGAAGACATAATAAACCTAGGGAAAAAGTCTTGTCAGAATTCATTAGCAGCGCAGATTTTTAAAGGTTGAATTCATAAGGAGACTAGATTTGTGTTGGTTCAGTTACTGGGCTTCACCAAGAAAAACACACATGGATAACTACACAGCAGATATCTCCCTGAAGGGTAACTCCAGAAGACTAAGTTATAATAGAAACAAAATGTGAGTCATTCATTGTGAAGGACCCAGATATATTCTCTGAAAGCTATGCTTCTGTTACAGGGATCCAATATCCAATTTCCACTGCTCTCCAACTGAACTATTGTTATTGGTAGGATCCCAATAGTGCATCCATTGATATTTTTATTATTGTGTAGAATGTGGCAGCGTCAATGTTGCAGGCACATATTGGAGAGCGTCTGTGACATTATCAGTCACAAGTGGCACAACTCTTCCACATGGCTGCTTCAATTTCATGTACGTATAAGAAGTCCAATTTAGCAAATTATGATTATAATTAATCTTCCAGTTAGAGATGGGAAATATGCAGCCCTCTAGATATTGTTGGACTTTAACTCCCATCAGCTTCAGCCAGTGTGGACAATGGTCAGGGATAAGGAGAGTTGGAGTCTGAAAGCCTCTGGAGGGCTGCACGTTCCCCATCCTTCGTTTATATGTGGAGCATGGCAATATTTGTGTAGCTCTTAAAAAAATAAATCACTCCCAGAATTTCTCAGGACTAAAGCCTACATCTGTATTTTTTAATATATAAAAAAGCAGCAATATTGTTGTTCCCCTAGAGCAAGATTATTATTTGCAGCAAAGCTACTTCAATCTTGACCCAATATCAAGCTATTACTTTTGAGTTAGTCCTTGCTGAACAATTTAACACAGGCTAAAATCCATATCTAGAATACAGTTTGACTGCTAATTATTTAAGTCTAAAATCCTAAAGACACTTACTAGGGAGTAAGTCTCACTGAACACAGTGGGACTTCCTTCCAAGTCAACATGCAGAAGAATGCACTTTTCCTTATGGGACTAAAAGTAACACCAAAGGCATACGAATGGGACATAATTTCAAGTGAAGTCTATCCATGTTTTAAGCATATTTACACAGAACTGAGTTCAATGAAATCTTATGGGGGCATGCTACTATGAAAGTGGATTGTTACTGCCTAAGAATCATATTTGCATGTAAGGTTTTAATAGCTATGGGTTGATGTACACATTACATCTTTATTGTATAGAGACAATTCCCAGGTAGTTAACAAAAGTGTTCTCCATCATTTCAAGGGTGCTTTTGCAGCCAGTGTGCTGATTGGGCAGTTGATACAGCAAAGGGATATTTAGGTTGTAGTGGATCTTGCACAATTTTGCAATTCTTTTTCTTCTTCTTTGGCGATCACTCGTAGCCGAGTAAGATTGTCTTCCATAAACACAGTTTTAACAATGAGTCCGTAAGTGACTGTGGAGGCCAATTCTGGATCCGCACGTCCTTCCACAGTGGGGACATTGGTTGCCGGGCAGGAGTTGATCACGGTGTGAATGAGCTAATGTTATATTTATACTAAATGCCCATATAATTGGAGCTGGAAGCAAAGGTTGTGATTCAGGACCACTTATTCTTTTTATTCATTCATTTATTTTATAATAATAATAATAATAATAATAATAATAATAATAATAATAATATAATAAATGTGCACCCACCCCTGAAACTATTCCATTGTAACTATCCAACCTCCCGAAATTTCAACATCTCTTGCGATGGTTTGACCCCCTTCCATTTTAACAGTACAAATTCTACAATTACCTTCCATATCTCCTCAAAATCATTTCTCCTGCAAATGGGACCACTTATTTTTGAACATGGCAGCTGAAGTCACTTTGAAGGCTCAGTGACATTACCAGTTCAAGATACTTCTGCAAGGGCCAATACTTGAAAAAGAAGCCAATTCCCTCCTTCATCTATAACCTGCCTTCTCCGTGGTGCCACCTGAAGCACGTTACTTCACCCTGTTGCATAGCAGGGGCCGGACTTGCTATGTGAATACCTTGACATTGCTCCAGAGCAACTGGCATGTAGGGTTTAGTCTTTTACATGAGTTACTTTGAAAGATTTATACCCCACCATCTCCCAGGACTCATGATGCCTCACAACAGCTTTGCACATATGCATGTCCTGCCTCTGTGGGACTCAAAGCTTTAGGCGCTTAAACAAACAAGTAACTAAAGGAAGCCAAAACAATGAAAAACCCCCTTTTACGGCAGGGTTGGGGAAACCATTGGCAGCCCAAGGGCTGCACTGTCTTCTTGGCAACACTTTGGGCACCACATGCTGGTGTTGGATGGGGCCAAAGGCAAAGGTTGGCAGGGCAACATATGTGAATTTTACATATATACAGTAGGCTGGTTTCTATGCACAGCAAGACAGACGCATTATCCAAATTCAAGGATACATTTATGTGAGACAGAAACACTAAGATGATGGGTGTGACCTGGGGAGAAGGATGGTGGTGAGAGTCTTGAGAGCCAGATGGAGATGCCTGGAGGACCACATTTCCCCTCCCCACCATCCCGAGGTTCCCGATCCCTGTTTTAGAAAAATCCACACACAAAAAGGAGTTAATGTAAACCAGTTAGCAAGGAGCAAGCCCATTCAATTTCCTGGAAACTTACAAATAAACAGAAGTCGAGTCATGTTGCATTTCATGTTGCATTTCATTCCAACCCTTTCCTGCTGTTTCTTGCCCCCCCCCCAATTTCCCCAGCCCCTCCTATTACACATAGTTTACCTGACTGGCTTGCCCCTTTCAATGTAATCCTGACCTAAACGAAATCCATTGACATCAGCAGTGTCAATAGCATGGATAGAA